GTCTGGTTTGGCTAAGCTCAAAGAAACAGAGGAAAGTTTACTGAGATTGAAGCAAAAGTGTGCAGAACTGGATGCGCTAGCGGAAGAGCAGACAGCAGAGTTGTCCGCGACCCGAACTCCTCTGTCTTTCGATGATATCTTGTTTTGATGATTTGAGTTCTTCTTAGGTATTTTGGTTATATCTTAGTTTCAAAAATTCTAGAGATCCTCCTCTTTTGATTGAACTTATGATGTAATTTTGTGACTTCTTTGAAATCTTTAGCTACCAAATTTGTTGACGCAGTGCTTAAAATCGTGAGCAGGCATTGATGAATCTCTCTTTTCATTCCAAAAACATGTTTTCTTTTTGTAATAAGTGGAAATGGAGAATGGGTATGCAGATTATGACTAATACAGTTAATAGAGTCCTCTGTTCTTAGCAACAGATTATTAACTCAGAAAACATTTCAAATATATTTCGATTTTAATCGGTTTCTTTATTTTTAGTTCCAGTGATTTCAGTTAATGAACCAAAAAGATTTTAATTAAATCGGTTCTTTTGAATACAATTGTGATTTTGGTACGAATCATTTTAAACCGGATCAAACACAATTTAAATTCAATCGATTCTTTTGTTTCCTCGTTACGACAAAACGGCAGCGTTTTCCAAAACCACAAAAAAACCCTACTTTTATTGACTTCTGTGTCTATCTGGATTTTGACCATATCTCTCTCTCCTCCTCAACAACTCCCTCTCACTCACTACCAGACTTCACCATTGTTAAAGTACCTCCACGCACCGCGCCGATAAAAACCCTTTTTCTCATTTCTTAAACCCTTTAATCCAATCTTCTCCACGCGCCGCTATGCACTCCACAATCCTCTCGCCACGCGCCTCTCTCTTCCCCTGTAAACCTCACTTCTCTTCACACAATGTCCGCTCCAGTGATCAATCTCGCCGCCGGTCAACCTTCTCCTGCTCCGTCCAATCCGTAACCGCCGATCCCTCTCCGCCTACCACCGACGCCGCCACAAAGCTCAACAAGTACAGCTCCAGAATCACTGAGCCCAAATCCCAAGGTGGATCACAAGCAATCCTTCACGGTGTTGGATTATCCGACGACGATTTGTTGAAACCCCAGATCGGAATTTCGTCGGTATGGTACGAAGGGAACACATGTAATATGCATTTGCTTCAATTGTCCGAGGCTGTGAAAGAAGGAGTGGAGAAAGCAGGAATGGTTGGGTTTAGATTCAATACGATTGGTGTGAGTGATGCTATCTCCATGGGAACTAGAGGGATGTGTTTCAGTTTGCAATCTAGGGATTTGATTGCTGATAGTATTGAGACTGTGATGAGTGCTCAATGGTATGATGGTAACATATCTATTCCTGGTTGTGATAAAAATGTGAGCTTTTCTCTTTGGAATCATCCCTCCTTCTTGTGCTGTATACTCGATGTTTTCTTATCTTTCATGGTTATGTGATTAATTTGCTCTTACTTGTTGTTTTGTGGTGTTTTCAGATGCCTGGAACGATTATGGCTATGGGAAGGCTTAACAGACCAGGCATTATGGTTTATGGTGGAACCATTAAGGTACTTTTTCATAACTGAAGTTCACTGAACCCTAAACCCTTGTCACTTGTTGGATCATTTATTCACCTTGTGCTTTGATTTTATTGCAGCCTGGTCATTTTCAAGACCATACATATGACATAGTATCTGCTTTCCAGGTATCTTTTTCTTCTATGTACTACACGCTTGATGATAACTCTATACTACTACTTGTTTCTAATTCTAAATTTGGGATTAAATTAGTTAGAAAATTCTTGGTGACTTGGGTGTCAAATTGATGCAATACTTATGTGTTTCTTCATGTTTTTTCTGATTTTGTATTTCAGGTCTATGGAGAATTTGTTAGTGGCTCCATAAGTGATGAACAAAGAAAGACTGTCCTCCATAATGCGTGTCCTGGAGCTGGAGCCTGCGGTGGCATGTACACAGCTAATACAATGGCTTCTGCAATCGAAGCAATGGGAATGGCCCTACCTTACAGGTGAATCAACTTTAAACATTTTGACAGATTTATGCTTAGTAGAAAGTCATTTTCAAATACACAACGGACGTCCTAAACTGTATATGCAGAATGCTTATTATAAAAGTTCATATATTTTTGCTCTTCTTCTTTCCTGAAGCTCTTCGATACCCGCTGAAGACCCATTGAAATTGGACGAGTGCCGCTTAGCTGGAAAGTATCTTTTAGAATTGCTAAAGATGGACTTGAAACCGCGTGACATTATCACTCCACAATCGCTTCGTAATGCAATGGTTACCGTCATGGCCCTTGGAGGATCGACAAATGCTGTGTTGCATCTAATTGCTATTGCGAGGTGATAGGTTAATGTGTTCTGCTTATAACAACCATGGAAAGCAATGAATCGAGGTACTGAATAAAAGTTATTTCAGGTCTGTTGGTTTGGAGTTGAGCCTTGACGATTTCCAGAAGGTTAGCGACGCGATTCCATTTCTAGCAGATCTGAAACCCAGTGGAAAATATGTTATGGAGGATATACATAAGGTGCGGCTTTCGCAATATCGTTTTACTTATCTGTTATTTGATTCCAATTGATCATGTTGCATTTGTTGTTGTTTGATCTACAGATAGGTGGTACGCCAGCTGTTCTTCGCTATCTATTAGAGGCTGGATTTTTGGATGGGGATTGTATCACAGGTGCCAATGCTCAATCCTGCTAGAAATTCGTTTAGCATACTGGGTTAATGTCAATTGCTTATAAAACTGATTTAATAACTATGCTTTTGTGTCTCCTCCAGTCACAGGGCAGACTTTGGCTCAAAATTTGGAAAACGTCCCCCGCTTACCAGAAGGCCAGGTAGGTTTATTTGTAATGTGATTGGTTCTCTCGCCAGAATCAACCATCTTTTTCTTCTTGATTATGATGGATGCAATTTATACAATTGTCTAATTAAGGTTTACAATGTCCCAGGATATAATTAGACCTGTGTCAAACCCAATCAAGGAGACTGGACACATCCAAATCTTGAGAGGAGACCTTGCGCCAGATGGTTCTGTAGCAAAAATAACGGGCAAAGAGGGGTTATATTTCTCTGGTAATGTTGATTTGCTCTTGTAGCTCTGAAACTTGGCTATTCAGGAAACATAATTCATTATTTAAGAAAAAATGGAACTATTTGTTCTAGGCCCTGCACTCGTATTTGAAGGAGAAGAATCTATGATGACTGCTATATCAGAGGATCCAATGAGTTTTAAGGTGATTGCCTTTCGGATATGATTGATGATCATCTCATGATCTGCTTAATTCTAAAATCTGATGAGCTGTGTCGTGTTTCAGGGAAAAGTGATTGTTATCAGAGGAGAAGGACCTAAAGGAGGTCCAGGCATGCCTGAGATGTTGACACCGACAAGTGCGATAATGGGTGCCGGTCTTGGAAAGGTACCACAGTTTACTTTAGTTTGATCAATTTCTGTGTTCTAAGTTGAATAAATTCGTTTTTCTTTGTTAAGAGTAATTGAGATATGCATACTTTATATTTGTGAAGCGAGTCATTATCTCTGCTTAATTTCCATGTGAAAACACACTTTGATAGTATCTTTTTGTTGGTGCTTGCAGGAATGTGCACTGCTAACTGATGGTAGGTTCTCAGGCGGGTCTCACGGCTTTGTCGTTGGCCACATTTGCCCTGAAGCACAGGTCTTTTTATCTCTCTCTTTCTCGCTTGATCAGAGTAAAACTCTGGATTTGGCACTTGGTCGGTAATGCTAAAAGCTGTTCCCCTTTTTGCAAACTATTTATATCTGCAGGAGGGTGGTCCGATCGGTCTGATAAAGAATGGAGACATAATTACCATTGACATAGGAAAAAGGAGAATAGACACGCAAGTCTCATCTGAAGAAATGAGTGAGCGTAGAAAGAAATGGACTGCTCCTGCATACAAGGTTAACCGTGGAGTTCTATACAAGGTATAATCAAATCAATACTTGTGTGCAGTATATTGACATTTGTTGGATTAGTTGCTAAAACAATGGTTGGATGATAATATATATATATACTAAAACAGTACATCAAGAACGTGCAATCGGCTTCAGCTGGATGCGTGACCGATGAGTAAGTGAGAGATCTCGGAGTGGTTTTGTGACAGAGCAGCAGAAAGTAGTGTGTTCATGAGGGAATTTGTACGGCTTTATAGTTTTCTTTATTATCATTGTTTCATCTGGATCATTTGGAGGGTTTGATTTGAAGATTTGTTTCTCTTGGCAAAATAAAAAACTTGTCTGATGCGAATGAAAACGAATTTGTATTATTCAATAAAAAGGTTGATAATTTGATGCCTTTTTCCAAAATTTATATGGACCTATAGTTGAAGCTTGGAAGATTATACCGCAGTGGCTATATCATCGCAAATAGTAGCTAAAAAGGCACTTACAACAGATGACCATTCCTTTGTCTGGATTCGAGCCTTTCATCACCATCAATATTCCTTTCTCCGGATTCCTCCGTCAACTCGTTGGAGGTAATAACTGTCTAAGATCATGATTTTGTGTATGAAATCATTCGTAATAAACCAATAAACATTAAACCAAACTTTAATTTGGTTAAAATGATTTTGTCTTTCATAATTACAACCAGATCCATTTACATGTGTTATATACATGTGTTTAAAACCGAAAATTATTCTAACCGGAACTAATCTAAAAAAAAACAAAAAAAGCCCAAACCAATGATTAATATTGTCTATAAAATTCTCTGCATCATACTATACTTTTTATCTCTCTTATTAAAAAGGCATATTATATATATAATAATATATCCAACTACATAAACACCAGCCACTGACTCTAGATTGTCATAATAATATTGTCTATAAAATTCTCTGCATCATACTATACTTTTTATCTCTCTTATTAAAAAGGCATATTATATATATAATAATATATCCAACTACATAAACACCAGCCACTGACTCTAGATTGTCATAATAATATTGTCTATAAAATTCTCTGTATCATACTATACTTTTTCTCTCTCTCTCTTACTGAAAATTCATATCATCTATATAGTACTATATCCAATTACATAAAAATCAGCCACTCACTCAATATTCTATTCACTCGTTAAACGTAGGAATCTTTACCTTTAATATTAACCGTCCAATTTTTTTATAAAACACAATTGCCATGATAATGTCTTATTACATATTCATCAGAATGGCTATGGAACAACCCAATTTCACCGCTCTGCCGCAGACATCAATTCCGCTACACAAACTGAAGCAAGAAATATCCAATCACTCTAGAAATAGTGGTTCGACTTCTGTGATCTTGGGAAGTTCGAAATTCAAAGTTCAACGGATCACTCATTAGTTTTTATCTACTTTTCTTGGATGAAAATGTATTATGATGTTTTTATTAAAATTGATTGAAACTAATTATTCCATTTACAAATATGTTTACACAAATTTCAAAACATATTAATTCCTCACACCTAACTTAATTTTAGATGTCAGGGATTAATTTTTTTTTCATAGTTTTTTACATCAAAGTATTCCTAACATCTAACTTAATTTTTGTCAAAAAAAAAAACATCTAACTTCATTTTCCAAAATTTCCACGTGCAATTGGCATGAGCTGGATGCGTGACCGATGAGTAAGTGAGAGATCTCGGAATGGTTTTGTGAATGGCAGCAGAAGAAAGTAGTGTGTTCATGAGGGCAATTGTACGGCTTTAGTATTCTTTAGTATCATAGTAGCATCTGCATCATTTGGAGTGTTTGTTTCTCTTGTCAAAATAAAAACATGTCTTTTGCTAAAAAAGACTGTGGGAGTCGAAACCCGCACAATCAAAACTTGTAGAGATTTTGTAGGGAACTGAATTTCTATGATTAAACCAATGCTAGCAATTGCAAAGGAAATTGAAAAAATCGTTCTATTGCTGTTTAGAAAGCTTTAGAATACAAGTGTTTGTGGATTTTTTCGGATCTCCTTTTCAAGGGATGTACATGAGTATATATAGTAATCTAAGTCGGTTCAGACTATTCCTAAGAAGAAAAGAAAATATTCCTTTTCTTCTTCTAACTTCCTTTTTTCTGAGGAAGGCCCGAGTCGGTGTCGTCTTGTTGGGCCTCATCACATGCTCTTCGGTTCAACTCCACTTAGTCACGTTATTGCTGTCATGAGTT